TTGAATCCATATGGAGAATAGCAGAGGTCGCAATCCAATGTGTTGAACAACACAGCTCCTCAAGACCAAGGATGCAGGAAATTATATTGTCAATACAAGACGCGATCAAGATTGAGAAAGGGACCGATAAATTAAGTTCATCGGGGAGTTCAAAAGCACGATCATCAAGGAAAACACTCTTAACGAGCTTCCTTGACATCGAAAGCCCTGACCTTTCTAATGGATCCTTAGTGCCATCTGCTAGGTAAAAATGTAACCGTTTTATGTTTTGTGTTGATATTCTCCAACTAATATGCATAAGCCATAGATTTAGACTCAGATGATGTTAGCTTCTAATTTCTGAAGGGTGAATGGAACTCTTGTGGTAAAAGTATGTCTATATATATTGTGTGTGTATATTTATTATGCATAAAGATGTGCTATTAAAATGTGTATTGCATCCAGAGTTAGTGAAATAACATTTTCCACAAGTACTACTACTATTCTATCACTACTCACATGGTCTCTTTAATTTAGTGGAGGATAAATACGACTCGGGGTACCTTTTTATCAAGAAAGCGAAACTCAAAACTAGTCATTACATATGATCCTAAAAGTTGGAAAATAGAATTCGGACGCATTAGAAAAGCCATTTAAACCCATGTTTGGCTCATGTATATAAACATTTTGGTCACTTTTTATCTACATATTTTGAGGAGTTCGTAAGAACTTCACACGTGTACTATTCAGTTCTATCAATTCATAATTTAAACTGTTTATGAACACTTCCTAAACATACTCTTAAGTCTAGATTTCTAATTGTGATAGCATAAATATACATCATCACATTTCATAGGTAAAAACCATCTATATGTCCAATTTATGAGGAAGAGGGTTGGGAAAGGATAAAGGAGAGTTGAAATTGACCTGATCTGAAGAAAAGGACAAGTGATAAATTTATTCTGCTTATTAATTTATTGCAATGTTGTTTGCAAGTAGTCTAAATTCTATTAAATAATCACGTGATTTTTACCTATATAAGTAATAAAGTTGTT